TTTGTTGGTTAATTTCTGGGACTCATAGACTTATCGATTAAGGGAGATGGAATTCTGTCGCTGTCACATACTCCTTTAGTAAAAAAGTTCGAGTTACGAAAGATATTGATGAGTTCTTTTTTTTTTAGGATGGACGCAATCTAAAGAAGACAAAGTGGTTAAGGGATATGACAGGTGATTTAAACATGGTAAGAAAGGGACAGATGGGTGCACGGAAGCAACGAAGATATGAGAATGGTTTTTTTTTTTTTTTTTTTTAAATATTCATTCGTGTTGAACATCGTGCTTGAACTATTCAACAAAGCGTAGTTATTGATTACGTTGTTTGTAATGTGTAAAAAGATGAGTAATTGATTTGTAAGAGTTAAATAATAGTTGAGTAACTTCTTACTAAAGCATGCTTGTATAACTTTATTAATGAATAAAATTAATGGAATTAGCGATTCGTTTTAAAACACTATGAACATATATTTCCAAATATTTCCAAGTCTTAATTTTTTTTTTCTTGTAGCACGGCTTTTATATTCGATGGCGGATGCGGAAGATATCTGCGAAGATTATTCTGATATCTTACACTCAACAGTTACAGCTCTTTCAAAGCTGTTCATCGAAGATGGGAATATGCAGGTGAAATTCGAGATCTTAAATAGTTTGGTTCGTTCGACCTTTAGAATCTTAGCATAGCAGTTTCATGAACTGGTATGAAAAGAAAAACTCTTCAGGCTTGGAATACTTTTATTGAAAAGAATGAAGAAGAACAACGAGAATTTTTGAAAAGTTATGAAGCAGACGAAACACATGAACATTGCTCTTGTTCTGATGGCTCTTATTCCCAAGTATTTGATAACTGTGAACAACAGGCTTCTGATAGTTCGTTTCTGATATGCCTGTTTGTAGAATGTGATTTATTGCTTGTAGGAATACGTTTGCTATCTAGAATTCTATAGGCTATGTATAGATATTAAAATTCCCTTATCAAATAAAAATTTAGGCCATCCATTACATTCAGCAAAAGCTTCGTTTTCGCGTTTGAATCGACGATTCAGGATGATATTAAGACATAAAACACTACCACTGGTATGTATGTTTTGCTTTTGTAAATTTGAAATATGGAATTTATGTATCACACTTAGGGCTATATTCGATTGTCCTTTTTATGTTTCTTTTTTACACCGTTAGATGTTCTAGTATGTCACCATTTTGTCTGCAGCTTAATCTTGATTACAGGAATTTATGGCTGTAAATGAAAAAGAAATGAGAAAATTTTTCCATAGTAATGTATTACCAATATCGGAATGGTCTTCATCTGTCCTGCCACGTTTGCAGCGTCTTATCATACATGCGCTATCGCAATATCTTTCTCTTATCTCGAAAAGTAATTTTCTCGATAGAATTTTTATAGAAGTAGGGGATGGAGTTTGTCTAGATTATCTCTGAAAAACATCTGATGATTTACATGCTTTCTTTTCTTTTCTTCATATTGCCTAAAAATATTTGACATTATTGTGATAATCGAGTTTGAATCCAATTTTATGACAGCACATCAATTAAAAATTACTGAAATCGTATAATCAATATCATTTTAATAATTAAAACAAATTCTATAAAATAGTTTCTTAATTAAGGCGTAGTTGTTGGTAATGGTGATGAGAAGCTTGTCAAAGTTCGCAATAAATACTGCTCATTCCGGCCACCTTCGGAAACATTGGTTGATTATTTGAAACGAATGCACAGAGCTGATAACGCTGGAAAAGTTTCTTGATGTAAATTGTCAATATTTCGGATCCGATTTCTTGGAATTTGTGATAGGCTGAGCAAGCAGACTGATTTGTTTGCTTTTGTTCTTTACCTTACTTGTTTATCTTCGGGGTGAATTGAAGCTACGTTTGGCATAATAATTTTTTGATAAGGGACCTATTGTAAAAAAATCATGAAAGTCACACTTAATTGCATTTTCTTTAAATGTTTAACAATTTTGGAAATATTTCTAGTCGATGTGAAAGCAGTTATTGTTCAGCTTTTGAAATGTGCCAAAAGACATTCATTTTTTCAGTGCCGAGTAATTCCATGATGTGTTTACTAAGTTTTTTATTTTTTGCTGAAGATTTTCAGCTTGATTTTCAAACTCTTTTTGTACTTTTCTCAATTTCTTTGCCGAAAGTTTTAAATTCAATATTAATTCAGGAGCTGAGTTGGCAAGAATTTGAAAATTTCGGGAAAAATGTATATTTTTTGCTACTTCTATACATATTAATAACAGAAATCTATCTATCTATCTATATCTATATATATATTAATAACAAAACAACGATGAAATAATAGCTTATTATTTCATCGTTGTGTTTTACTTTTATACTTATTCCTAGAGATTGTTTCATTTCTTCTTTTTTGAAATGCGGTTATGTTTCAAAAAAGTGGTGGAAACAACTTCACTTTTTTTTGATTAGTATTCAAGTGCAAGAACACTATGTAGGATAACGCTTTCCGTTTAAAAACGTTTCGACATTAGACTTTAGTCTCTGTAATCATTGATGAAAAAGCGTAAAAATAATTAGAAAACACTGAGAATACTACATGAATATCAAAAGTATATTTACGTTTTCGAGACTTTGGATATAATAGTAATAGACTGAAAACTGTCTTAGTTCACTTTATTAGATATGCATGTTGCTGAGAAGTATGGTTTGATTTTTTCAAACAAAATGGAAATTCAAGTTACCGTTGGTTTATAACGCGAATTAGTTTTATTCTTCAAAGAATGGAGGAAAGAGAAAGCTTTTAGTTTGTACTCCTACCTCTATTTACTCTTGCATCTATAAGTGAGTTTAAATGTTTTTCTATTTCTTCTATCATATGGTTTCTTATCTTTGACTGATTTTTATTATGGATGTCATATTGGAATGTCATAAACGATACACTGCAATACCATAAAATTACACTTCTATTTCTTCAGATAGTAATAAGTGAAGGGAAGATATGACTCCTCGGATTTTTGTATTTAAAAATATGTTGGATGAGAAAGATGAATGGTAAGAAAGGTTAAATTCTGAGATCTACAAGACGGATGGGTATTTGTTAATTATCCACTTATATGTTAGCAAAGTAGAATAATGAATTCTTTACTGAGAAATCAATATTAGCATCGAAATCGATGGATGCAGGGAGGAGGACTGTTTTTAGCTAAGAATATGTAGTGTGCTTTGTTTTCCTTAATATACTTTGAAAGGTAATAAGCAGAATATTAAACGACATAGCAATAATAAGCTAGAATTTTAAATTTAACCAATTAATATAAATTTTATTTCTTTAAACAAAATGAATATGCAGTAGTTCTTATTGCAGTTTGATGTGTTTAGCGTAGTCTTTTGTTTGTTTCAAATTAGTTGAAGCTTCGGGTGGTATTTTTTGTGCTAAGTTGAAGTTGTCACGATAATTTTTGAGTTATATACTAATTTAAAACAAATGCTTACAGTTTTACTAAGGTAAATTTCATTTACCGATAGTGAATACTTAAATGAAAATGTGAGTTAAATTTGTTAACGTTCATAACGTTAATACTGATGGAAATGTTGCATTATTACAGATATGATTCATTGGTATCACAACTTACTATTCAGATTTATAGATTCCTTTTTTTCTTTATTAACAAGAAATACGAGAAATTTTTTTGGCATAAAGGTTGATTTTTTTTTGTTTGCAGATTAGTATTTACCTAATGTCTTTTATATGTTTTACTAGATGTTAGGTATTGCTGTAATTTAGTACTAAACATTTAGATTTAAAAATATTTAACATCGAACAGACTGAGAACATACGGTACTATCAGATTAATATGGTTATCATTTTTCATGCTATTTTTTTTATCAGGCAATTGGTAATTACAAAATGAATGCAAAGTTAACGGATTTTGAAGCGGGATAGTATGAGCTTATAACAGGTGAGCTTAAAATCATATTAATTTTAAAGTAACTTTAATTAATTAGTCTTAAATACTTTAATTAGCATATATCTATGTTTGTTTCAATAATTTCAGTCAAGATCATTACAGAAGCATTAATACTTACATAATTATGAATATTTTGTATTGGTGAAGAGAAATTTTGCTGGAATAAGGTGGATATATCAGTGGAGCATACACTAACTAACGATATAGTTCGGAGTGTTATCTTATTTGTTTGTATCAAGAATATCGCATTAGGTCAAGTATTTATCAAAAAAGGAAATGGAAGTAAAAGAAAAAGAAAAAATTTGGTGAAACATATAAATCATATGAACTTATTAGATATTCTATGATGAATTTGGTTTTTTTTTTTTATTTTTAGATGATAAGAAGAGAGAGTATTTCGACCCATTTTTCTGCCATGAATCCGGTTAATGATGTAATGAATTGGGTGTATTATTATGAGAAGTACACTAAGTATGCCTTGTTGTTGTTTTTTGGACTTTGCACTTTGTACCACTTTGTATCACGTTCAATGGCACTAACTCGTTCAACAACTCATTTTAGTTTCATTAAATGGTAAATTATTGCATGACTGTGGAATGGTATTTCGGTGTTATTACTGATATTTGATAATATTATAAAATTTTTTTAATATTAGATGTTATATCATTTATTGCTTTCGTTTATTGCAAAATTATAAATTTAATAAGCTTTTTATATTTAATTAATAGCTATATTTAATATTTCAAAACCTACCTATTTCTTTTATTTCTATACGTGCATTGTGAAGTAAAGCTCTTTATCATAAGAAATATTTTTTGCAAACGTTTACTTTTAATGTGAATTTTAAACTTTCTTCTTGTCATCAAAAATTTGTCTTTTATTCATGACTGTAATGAGGATTGTATTTGATAAAAATCTATGTTGCATTCCCAGATATCACAAATATTTAATGATTTTAATATTAACCAAGTTTTGCAAGATAGAAGTTTTAATGAAGAGATTTATTTAATCATTTTTAGGACTTTACAGTCAGTTGATGGAATTAAAGGAAGCAATGGCAGAAGCGCACAGTATTGCTGCGCTGTCTGTTTCGCTAACGCATGATGGCATATCCGTATCATACGATCAAGAATTACTTAATGAAATTTTGCATTCATTCTTTCGAGCTTACAAAAAACGTGTTGCACGTTTTAAGGTATGCCAATTTTTCATGAATTAAGTAATGTTTTTTTTTTTTTTTTTAAATAGAAGCAAATTTCTATTAAAAGTTAGGTGAATTTGACAATTTAAATGACACTGTAATTCTTAATTATTTGTTGAAATTACGAGGGATTTTGAAACTAACGCTTTTATAAATAAAATTAGTTATAGTTTTATGAAAGTACTCATAGATATTTGTTTTTATTGTATAATCTATTTCAAAGATACTGTATAACCTATTTAAAAAATTTTTTTACTTGTCCTTGCTAACCGTTTGTTATGTTAAACAAGTTTGTTGAAGAACGAGACTGATTTTAGAATGTGTTGATTATCAAAGCATATAATATAAATGATTCATTTACAAAATATATTTTTATTGTCTCTGTTTCCTTCCATTTATCAAACTAAATTATAAAATATTACCTAATTAAATTAAAAAGTATTATTTAATTGCAGAATAACTTTTATAACGGTATCTTCCCAGCAAATGCTTATACAATGTGTATAGTTATGTTTATAGTCAGTTTTTTATCAACTTTTCATTATGATTTTTCATTTGGTACACTATATTTACTGCGATATTATATCTTCAACTCATTTTTTGGGTAACTTTTTCTTCCGATTTCTTTTCGTTCCTTTCAAAATACCATTATAACATACTTTTTGTTTTTACTGAAACTGCAGCTTTAAATTAAATTTGTCAGGCATTAATGACAGCAAGATTGGTAAAGGAGTTTCTGGTTTTTATGAAATGATTAAAAATCATGTTGTCAAAGGTTTTAATTTGAAATTTTTGATTACTGCAAGTGAGGCATAATTAAATACAATATTTTTAAATATTTGATTGTAACACTTTTTGTTCGATATTAATTTTTTTACTATACTGTTCTATCTTATAACATGATATAATTCTTGTTTTTCCGTGGAGTCTTAATCTTCCAGTCTTAATACTTTCAAGTAATCCAGGATAAGCAAATCTAAGATAGATGAAATAGCTAGCTAATTTTTCTGTATTTTTTTTTTTCAATGAATACTTTATTTCTAAAAGATACCATCATTATTTATTTTTATAGTAGTGGTGTGTTCACTCAAGTATTCTCGTTAATGCTATATGGAATTTTTGTATGGTTTGTGATAATTCAATTCATCCGGTTAAGTCTGAAATGTTTTTTGCTCTATAAAGGTTGGATGTTTGAAAATCCTCATTCGCGACCACTTTCAAAATCATCAAAGTTGTGGTTGGTAAGCTAATGCTTTTCTTCTTTGTGTCATAATTTCTTGTTTTTGACAATGACTTGGTAATTTCCGTGTGGTTTTAGTACTAAGTTTTTTTTTTTTTTTTATAAACAGTACGTTGTTGTCTACATTTCGAAGCTCATGCAAAGATTTCTGTTGTGACTTATTCCCTGTAATATACTGGGAAATCATGAATTGAAAAATTCTGAATTATTTTTTGTTTGCAGACTCTTTTACATCTATTATCAAAAAGCGGCCTTATGTTACATTCATTTCAAGGAGCTTTGCCTCGTCTGCCATTACCGCGACTAAACGATACTCTTGATAAGGTTAACATTGAATTAGAAAAGAGAGTAGTTTTTATGCTTGAAATAAGTGCTCAGAGCATTTAGGAAAACCATCATCATTATAAATGGAAATTCATTTTCAAAAGATGGTTAATTGGAAAAAAAAATCAAAAATTCAGCACCTTTGTACGATGCGTCCGGTGTGTACAGATAAAGAATATGATGAGCTAGTTCAACTTACGGAAGAATTTCGTACTGGAGTGGGACGGCATTTACAGTGGTACCTAATTATTAAATCGTTCCTTTCGATCAATTATGTGGCAGAGTGGTGGGAAGATTTTGTTTATTTGCGACAGCGTTCACCGATAATGATTAACAGGTTAGTTTTTTTTTTTTTTTAAATCTAAAGGACTGAACTTATGTTGAGAGATTTTTTTTTTTTTTTGAATAAGTTGTTTTTCAGCAATTACTATGGCATGGATTCAATCATAGCACATCCGACATGTAATCAAGCGGCTCGTGCTGCTACAGTGACTTGGGCGGCGCTTTTGTTCCGCCGAATGATAGAACGACAGGAGATAAAACCAGTCAGTTTTTCAAACCAGATCTTTAAAATTTCTGGAAGAAATACGATTTTATATCTCCGATAAAGTGATCAATAGATAATTTTATCGATTAAATAGCGATTAATAGCGAATTTAATCGTTCGAAAAATTTTCACTCTTTTTGGATAAAAAGTTTTCTATTTACAGTTTGCATTCTTATCACAATTCAAAATACCACTGTGTACCTCTCAATATGAACGATTGTTCAACAGTTGTCGTGTGCCATATTTGGAAAAGGATAAGTTTTATCATTGGAGTGATGCGAAACATGTTGCAGTTTATTGTAATGGCCGTTGGTTTCGTCTTGCTATTCATAATGGAAAAAGGTTAACCTTTAAAAAGTTCGAAATATGTTGCTAAATACGATGTAAGAAATATTTTACTACATGCAAACATTTTTGAACTTGTCTTAAAAATGTCTATACATGTCATATCAGTTTGTAAGCATTACTGAAATAACTTTTAAAAAAGAACTAGAATATAAAGAATTCAAGGAAGAAAAGCTATAGAAACTTTGTTGGAAATTCTAAAATACAGAATATTTTAAGTTTTATTTGTTAGAAGAAAAAAAAATGTTCAAATCCGATGATTGGTACATACAGCAGGCGAGATATGAAGTGATATAAGTTCAAAAGAACATCGATGAATTTTTAGGTAGAATTAAAAATTTAATTTTGGTTCGATAAGCCGTTCAAATTAAAAATTTAGGTCAAATTAAAAGTTCTTTAGATTTTCATATTATTTATTGTATGTTATATGTTATTTGTTCAGTATTCTTCTCTTTTCCTTAACAAATAATATCATTGACAGTCAGAATCAGGAATTGGATTAAAATATATAGTTGAGTGCCCACGCCATTGTTTGCATTGAGAAATTAATGATTTCTTGCAAAAAAAAAAAAATTCCAAAAAATTGAGTATTCTAAAAATTTTTAATGTTTGGCAAATTTAATTAATATCCATTTATCATATATAAATTACAAGTTGATACATTTCATATGCAGGCAGGTTGTAGTTCATTCATTTTTTTTTTTAGGTTATACGAGCCATGTGAACTTCAGAAAGGTTTTGAAGCAATATTGAATGAAAAAGTGAGCTCAGATGCGGAGGAAAATTACATTGCTGCTTTAACAGCCAGTGATCGGGATGTATGGGCGCAAGTACGCAGAAATTATTTTACTTCTGGAATCAATCAACTTTCCTTGCATGCAATTGAAAAGGCGGCATTTGTAGTTATCTTGGATGAGCATGAAGTTTTCTATGACCCTGTAAGTTGCTTTTTCTTTTCTTCCCATAAACCACCGAATGATTGGAAAATTCTTCAAATATTCTCCGTTCTTTTAATATGAATTATGTTCTTGGAATTCTTGTTATTATCCTAACATTATCCTAAAGCTAATATTTTTACAAAGAGCATTCGTTGTTAAGAAATTGATGGCATCATTAAATTTATGATTAAATTTAGAATGATCCATCGAAATTAGATTTCTGGGCTAGCAGCTTACTGCATGGTACTGGATGTGATCGTTGGTTCGATAAGTCGTTCAATTTCATCATTTTTAAGAATGGATATTTTGGTATCAATGCTGAGCATTCTTGGTTTGTGTTTCTTTTATCTTGTTTATTCTTATCCCTGCATTCAAAGCAATTGTCAAAGCTTCAGTACATTTTTAGTTGTAGATAAGGAGCAGAATTGATTAAGGAATTTATAATAGTTATAATATTAATTAAAGTTAATGCTAACAATAATCTTAAATTGCTTATCTAATGCGAAAAATTGCAAAACAGATTTTTTCCGAAAAATTGCTTTTTATATTTTTAAATATTACTAGACTGCTCAGTAACTATTTGATTACTATTCACATATTTTAATTGGAGGTGTTTCGAATCAATTTTGCTTCATGTTATTAATTTTCATTTTGCAATTTGTTGTAAATAGTAAATTGATCACGTAAAATTCCATGAAATGCTTCAGGGGTGACGCGGCAGTGATAGCTCACTTAATGGAATTTTGTGCTATAAAAACAGTTTGTGAATATAATTATGATGAAAATGGAAATACACGTGGACAAGTGGAATCGATCCCGAAATATGATCGATTACGATGGCACATTACACGTGAATTAAATGTAATTTATCCTCATATTTTAGCATATGTTTCATATATTATTATTATTTATTGTTTACTGTTACTGGCAAGAACTTTTTTCGTTTGATGTTATGTAAATTCAGACATAATGCTTTGGCTGAGAATGCTTATTTCCGACAGCTACAACGGACTAAATTCAATCTAATTAAAAAAAAAAGACTCTCTTACAGGACGTGCCTTAATTGATGATGTAGAAATGGCTTTGTTGGTTTGAACTAAATATGGTAAAAGCCTTATAAAAAACTGAATGATGAAGCCGGTCGATCTCGTTCAGAAACTGTTAATAGATAGGATGTTAGAGTTACTTTATCATGTTTTCCATGAAAGTAAGGAGTTCAACTCCAACATGCAAATATGCTGAATAGATTAAGAAATTTTCAAGATCGTTTGAAATTTTTTTATTTCAGAGCACAATAATGAAATGTTTTCAAACAGGACGTGCCTTAATTGATGATGTAGAAATGGCATTATTGGTTTGGACTAAATATGGTAAAGGCCTTATAAAAAAGTTACGCGTATCACCAGATGGTTTTCTTCAGTTGGCTTTACAACTTGCATTCTACCGTGTAAATTCTTCATAAAAATCATTTGATGGGGTTAACTTGACAACTTTTAATTGATTTTTTTCTCTTTATTATGAGTAAAATTTGTCCATGTAGATGACGTTAGATTAATGGTCTTTTATTCTATGCTTCAAAATCTTCTATTTTCAATATCATTCAAATTAAGTCTGACTTGTCTTCAAATATATGTATATATGTGAATTATTTTATGTATTAAATAACTGAATCGGCATTTTAACATGATTCACCCTTTCTTTAAATTCAAGATTTTTGATCTTGCAAAATGTTTGTTTAGAATCAGAAAAAGTTTGCTTTAACTTACGAAGCAGCAACGGCACGTTTATTCCGAGAAGGACGAACAGAAACTGTTCGATCATGTTCCTCGTATAGTTGTGACTTTGTTCATGCTATGCTCGATCCAGATCAAACTGTAATTTTAATTCCTCTATTTCACTTTGCTGTTTCAATTTTTCTTTTTTTTAATTTTGAGACAAAACAAGGCCTTTTCAAATAAAAAATATGAAAAGGCTTTTTTCAAACTTCCGTTTTAACATTGTTACTCGGATAATCTGACTTCTTTACTTATGCATTTTTCTAAGTATTGTCTGAGTACCTTTCCGACAAGTATCTTCTATATTTTAGTATCAGGAGAGATTAAAATTGCTTAATGCTGCTTGTAATTATCATCAAACAATGTACCGTGATGCAATGTGTGGTAAAGGGGTTGATCGACATCTTTTTGCTCTGTAAGACTTAAACGTATTTAGAAATTTTTACTGTAATTTAAAATTATTTAAAATTAAAAGTCATAGTGTTAAACGAATCTTTCCGTCTTCCCTTAATCAGTTTTCAATCCAATCAATCGAATTATTCAGTGCAATATGGTTTGCTGTAATAACGTAACCGTAAGTCTGGGAAAACTCGGTATTTATTCCATTTAATCCATCTATTGATGGGAGTTTAAAATTTTGAACCAATTGATCTCATCTTTTTCAATTTCAACACATTCTATCTAATACAATCAAACTTGCGTTCATTGAAAAAAAAAAAAAAAAACAAGAATGATTTTTTTTTTATAGGTACATTGTTATGCGCTATCTAAAATTTAAATCGCCATTCTTGGAAAGAATATTCCCACCCACTTTTTTGCTTTCTACTAGTCAAACACCATTGAATCAATGTGGAGAAGAAGTAAAATATGTTAATCTTGACCCTCATAAATTTGGCACTGCTGGTGGTGGTTTTGGGCCAGTAGCTGATAATGGTTATGGTGTTTCATATATTATTGTTGGCGATGATATGATTTCTTTTCACATTTCATCGAAACGTTCAGCACATAATACGGTATATGTTTTGAATTTGCATTAAGTTGTATTTAAGCTAACTTCTAAGAAATTTCGTCTTGAATTTCAATTTGCGAAGTTTTTGTTACAGTCCCTTTGCTTTGAATGATTTTTGTTTCCTGAAGAACAGTCAGATTTTCAATGAATTTTTCTATGGAAACTTTTTATTTATCTCTAATGCTTTCTACTGGTCTTTAATTCTGTTAGTTTTAATGTGAGCAACTGAAATGGCTTATTTTTGATTGCTGTATTCAATTTATATGTTATATTTAATGATTTACAGAGTTCGGCAAGATTACGGGATGATATCGCTAGAAGTCTTGAAGATATGAGCCTACTTTTGCAAGGATAATAATAAGACATCAGAATTTCCCGAACTGTTCAATCATTCATTCAGGAATTGATGATCTGCTTATGAATATATGTGATAGTTAAAATGATAATGAATCACAGATTTTCATAAGCTATTTCTTGTTTTAAGATAGCTTTTAAGGCATCTTTTAAGATACCTTTAACATATCTTTATATATATATATATATATCATATCGAAAAATTTGTACAGTATAAATTGAGTGATAATTACTCAACGATAATTATGTTTATTCGTATACAGATATAGATTAAAGATATTTTGCAACACAACGTGTATCACCGAATAAGTTTTGTGAATCATTAATATACATTTAGTACTGGTATAAAGAAAGATTAGATTAGATATTTTTTAGCATATATATAATTTAGGTATAGTTAATTAAGTTTATATTTTTCAAAATTATTGTTGCGAGGAGATCGAACTATTATATCAAATAATAAGTATTTAGTGTTATGGAGAGATATTTTTATCATTCGAGTTGAGTACGGCATAAAATTGGTGGAGTTTCATACAATAATAAATTGGTATATCGTACGTATATTGCGGAATTCCTTTTATAGCTTGTAGTTTAGAAAAAAAATTCACATATGTCAAACAATACAAAAAAATATGTATAACTTGCGAGATGTGAATTCAAATTTATTGAATATAAATCAATCGTTACATTAAGTTTTTTGTGTCTTCATTTTTAATTCATATACTAAAAAACATATCATTTGGTATTTTTCGTTAAATATTTTGACTTTTTTTTTCTGGGAAAGTTTCTGGATTTCAGTCTCTTTTTTGGATGCATTTATCCGTTTTTCGACATTCGGCAGTCAATTTGATTCATTTCCATAATCATACATTATGGTCAAAAGAGATGAAAAATGTATTGTTACAATGCTGCACAGTTATTCCTAATTTTATTACGAAAGATGAAGAAATATCACTTTTGGATGAAATTAATCCACATATGAAACGAATGCGTTATGAGAAATCACATTGGGATGATGTAATCTGTTTCCTTTTTTTTTTCATTTTTAAATTTCAAACTATTTTCGATTTTCTAGATTTAATTCGCAGTTAACTTGTAGCTTGATTTGTTTTTTTCTTTTTTTTTTTTTTTTTTTTTTTGCAACTTTATTTTTAATTTAAATTAATCAAAGTGTAGTCCTGATTTGTGACATCGTCTATTTTTCGTTTATTTTTAAAATTTTGTCAGTAAGTCTTCTGGAATTTAATCTATGAATCTTTTATAAATTGAAAGAGCTGTTATCAAAAGTTAATGAAATTATAAGGAATACTATGATTATTGTGATGTATAAGTTTTATTTACGAACAATAGAATTTGAAATATGCAATACGTTTCTTTCACGTCACACATAAGTGTTGGCAAATTATTCATGTTTTGCTCCATTCTAAATATAATAATCTTTTATAATATAAAAATATTTTAGTGCCCAAAACTTTGAGCTCACTAATTTCAAAAATTTAGGCTATTCACTTGTACCGTGAACGAGAACAGCTAAAGTGGCGAAAAGAAAATGAAGCTATTCTTGATCGAATTCGAAAACACTCATTCAAAAAAGAAGATAAACAACATTTATTTGTACATATCCTTGATTTACACGAAGATGGTGTTATTAAACCGCACATTGATAGTGTCAGGGTATGTATTCCTTTCTTCTGTTCTTTCAAATTTATTTTTATTATTATCAGAATGTATGACAATAAATCAAACTGTAAATGCATTTCCAATGTAAATAAAACTTTTTTTTTGGTGTAGGAATTACATAATTTTATTTGCTAAACATCGTGATTAAAAAAATCTTTTAATTCTCTTAATAATCTTTTAATTACTAAACAACTAAAAATGTTTACACTTTTTGGGTCGTATTTTTTATCTCTTGATTTTTCTCTCCAGTATTGTGGTGATGTTATCACCGGCCTTTCCTTGCTATCAGATGCTGTAATGCGTTTACGACATAAAGATCGAAAAGATGAACTCATTGTTGATTTATTCTTGCAACAGCGATGCCTTTATAGAATGGCGTAATATTTTCTTTTTTTAATCAATTCATCGTTTTATATCCCAGTTATTTCAACATTTTCCAGCTAAGATTTAAGTTTTAATATTAGCGAATTACAAGTCATTGAGATTTTGAGAATGGAAGTAATTGAAACATTCTAGCTTGATGAAAAGCCAATTTAACTGAATGAAATATTTGGTATTATCATCTTATATATAATCATACTGAGAATGCAATACAGTAAACTGTCAAAATTACTTTTTTATTAATTAAAGTTTCAACCACTGTTGCGAATTACTGCAATAATTTATTTGCTCTACTGGATAAAAATTTCAGGGAATTTAGTCGTTATGAATTTTATCATGAAGTGCTTGGAAAAGCGGAATCATATTTCATGGAGAAGGCGATTCCACGGAGTCGTCGCATATCAATAGTATGCCGTGATTTGCCACGTAATGTACAAGAAAATGAATCACACACTGCCAGCAATATTGTAGGAAAAAGAGAATTACTGCAACGAAGTGATACTGAACGAATTTAGTTGTTATTATGCTAAACCGATTTTAGGTTAGGAAAATATGGGGATCAAAACCTCAAATATTTCCTTTAAGTTAGAATCATCATGATGAAGAATTATGCATGATGTAAAATCATCCGTGCTGCTGAAATTAAATGCTGTATTTTCAAGTTACCTATATCAGCGAAAATAATTCTAAACTATTCCAACTATATATATAGTTGTTCATTCGGCAAAATGTTTATTAGGATGTATTAGGATATGAAATTACTGATCAAAGAAAAATTAAAAACCTCCTACACACAGTTTGTTGTTTTCAATAATGGTAAAAAAGACTGAACCTACCATACGTTTGAGAAGACGCTTCAATGAATTAATGATTACTGCTGGTGACGTTATGTTATAATACTATTTTCTGAAGAGCACATAATTTAAAGACGTATCGATTTTTTTCTTTTTTTTTTCAGCGTTAAAGCACCCACAAAAGTTACAATATTTCAAAGTGAAACCATGATTATCATTTGATGCAAGCATATTAAAATAAGAAAAAAAATGTATAATACAACAAATCAACGACTGCACAAAGTAAGGACTAATTTTCTAAAAGAAACTTTTAAATAAAACCATCTCATTTTTTTTGGTTCCTAAACTTTGGATACCACGCATCAAAAATTGCGAATTGCCATCAAAATAGTCCTTACTTTACTGCTTAGATCAAAGATATTTATCAATCTATATCACATGAACGCAGTTCACACTTCGGAAAAAAAAAGATTTGAACGACATTAAATGAATTATTATTTTTCAACATGGATATGTCACAGTTCTTCGCTCTTATAGGCAGTTTGGAAGATATAAAAATAAAGAAATTAAGAGCAAAATTATAATCCGAATTTGGAATACTTTTAAAAAAAAGAAAAATTCTACAATAAATTCCGTAAAAGGAAACAACATGAAGTTTCAGAACTTTAATTGGATTCATTCCCGACGTAGATTTTCCAACCTAGCCTGTAGATCAGCATCTGCATCCGACAATGCTGGCTGCGGCTCTCGGTTTTGGTCTGCCGGCTTTAATGAACCTTGTGCTGCAGGTATCGCAGACAGTTCCTCATTCATCTGGATTCCTAATTCATCTAACACCTGCAAATAAATGATGTTCGGATGAATCTTCTGAAAATTATTTCATCACATATAACACAGCATGTTATATGTAGCCATGAGACTAACTGATTTATGCAATATAACATGAACGTCTTTCTTTTCTTTGATAGCAAAGCAATAAAAATAATCAATACATCAAATTATGATATTCTTCAATGGTAAAACTAGCAATTATCAAAAGTTGCCATTTTAGTATATATTCTCATTGAAGTGAAAATTTGATGAAACATCAAGCTGGTCTCATGAGATGTCTCAGTAATAAAAAATCAAAGGCACAGTTCAAACAAACATATCACTCAAATATACAAGTAAAATAGTACCTGCAGTAATACCACAAAACAGAACCTATATTCAAATTAACACAAAACAATTATCCTAAGCCTATGCAATTAAAGTTTAAAAAAAAAGAATGAAATTCATGTATTGACCAAAACGATGAAAATTTAAGAAAAATTACAAAATTTATACCTGAGCAACAATTGTTTCTGTTTCCTCTTCATCACCCTCATCTGCAATGGCATCATCTACTGCTTCACCCATCATTTCCTCTTTCATATCCATAATTTCTGATTGCCTTTCAAATTCCATCATTATTTTCTGGATCTGAGGCAAATTTAACTGCCGATTCATGTTTTGCATTGCCCGCGTTACGCCTTTCATTGCTTGTGCCATTGCATCTTGACTTTTTAGAGTTTGCACCTGCAAATCATTGACGTCTAAACTGATAAAATTTATTTCGGATGTAAAGGAGCATCAAATAGAAGAAATGACATAGCCCTTGGAATTTAAAAAAATCGAACTTTTGAAACAATCACAATCAATTTCATGCTGATTACTATTTGAGCAAAAGTAATTTTGTATGACATGCCATACTTAACTTCGTTTAAGTCTTTGAACATAAAAAAACTTTGAATCGTACAAAAATTCGAATAACTTTTATTTGTATCCACAGCTCTGAGTGAGGTAATTAGAATAAAAACAGTCATTAGGAAAAAAGAAATCAATAATAAAAGAAATACCCTTAATGAGACGGCTTGTATGTTAGCTTTCATCATAATGAATTTTTTGACATGTCGGCGAGTCCGGACAAGATCTTTTGCCATAACTTTTACTGAATCCTGAAATTTCTTGAAAAATACGGAAAATTATATTTTCTACTTTTACAATAATTCCTAGCATTTTCCTTTTGGTAACATGGAGCTATTCGAAGTTGCACAGATCAACAAAGCATTCGCCCACTAAAATCATACTCAAAAAACTATTCTATGCTCATTACCCAACATCATTTAATATATGTGGTTGGGTACTCTTGAACTTCACTTCGAGCAGATTTCAAAAACTTTGAAGTTCCTCAATAACTGGCAAATAATGGACGACATATGACATAAAATTCAAACGTATTTTCTACCATTTGATTCATTTTGGCCATTTTCTTAATATCAGCAATAATCTTCTTCTCCTGCATTTCAAGACGTGATCGTTCTCGGTCCAATTCACGCATCGCCTTATTCAACGCTCTCTGATTTTGTCGTAACATTTCGGCAGGTGTCTTCTTTCGGCCAAACAGGAAATCCATCTTGTTACCCGAATTATTTAATTTGGATTTTAAAGCTGAAAAATTATGAAAAACATACAGAGTGATTTCATCCCGTGCAATGCATTTTTTTGGCACTCGCAGAGTTTTTTAATGGTTTATCTGAACAAATAAAGAGCGCACAACACATACACATACAGCTAACCACTGAACCACTGCATTTTGATTTACCCATACTCCGGGTAAAGTGTTATTCCTGATGACTATTTGACAGGTTAAACCTTTCGACCATCTAATGCATCATATCTTTATTATATATAACATCCTGAAAGATATCCATTACGGAAATTCTCAAAAATATTCACAAACTTTACAAAAAAAAAAAGATAGAATAAGAAAAAAAGATTTTCAACAAATACGACCAACATAGTATACAAATGTCGAGAGTACAACAATTTCAAATTTTCAGCTATTGAAAGTTAAAAAAGAGGAAAAAGAAGAAGCTGATTCACCGAAACAATGAATCACAGTTAAATTGCTGTATGAATTTAATGAAAAATAAAGAATTTTCGATGGAATATTTAGTTGAGAAGAATGAAGCTACTTTTTAATGATTTCTAGAAACTTTTAAAATGCTACAAAAAGAAAAATCCAAATGCATTATCCACAAACATCGCTTAATGACACTGCCAATAAACAATGGTAAACAAACAAAATGACACTTTGAGCAGAGAATAGCGAACAGTTTAATTCATAAATTTGACGCGCTATGCAAATTTTCACCTCATAGCATTAAATCTAAATTAATTTCATTTAAGAAACAAATCAGATTGAAATTGGTCATTTGGTTTATTCATTTGCTAAAAGCTAATTGCAAAATCAAATCATATGGCATCATCAAATAATGGCAAATGTCGAATAAGTAGTTATTGCGTTATCATTAGAAATCCGAAGGTTTTTAATGGATTTGTCAAATTTTTCTAACTGATCCAAATCCAAATCAGAAATGTATGGAAAATGTTTAAAAAATTTCTCAGAAATAACTATACTTCTATTTCTTACTTAAAATTTTGATACTTATAAAAATATTTGTTAGAAAAATAAACAAAAAAAGAAACTCAGCAAATATTATCATTTTCTTTCGCTTTTTTAGCAAATTAAACTAACAATGGAATGCAATAAACAAAGTTTGAAATTAGATAATACTGAATTTGTAATTAATGAAGAACAAATGATTGCAATGTCCAATTTTTTCAAACGAATGTTAATTAGTGGCGGTACTTCAATTTTTTCCACTTTTGATAAATCAATTTAAATTGACTATTAAACTACAAAGAAGTCTTACAACGAAATTTTATGGCCTTAAATTTAAATTTTTGGAAATTTAAAATGAAGATTACCTAGTTTGCATAGTTCTTAAACTTTGCTTTTATTATTCTTATAAAAGTTCTGAGTGAAATAAAGTAATTAAATTACGAAATATGCAATTGATGGATTAAAATTAGCTTTATTTCAAAAAAGTTTAAAAATTAAAATCAAAGTTTTTCTCGTTGCATTCTTGCTGAAATAAAATTCAATAGAGAAATCTCATTATTATTATATGAATTATTATTGATTTAATTGTTAAAACTTTTCATTCCTTTCTAAATTACAACCAAATAATGTTTTAGGGAAGAAAAAAATAATTGTACTTGACGAATTAAAGCAAAAAGAACCATGCTTCGATGCGATCGGATTAGCAATTGCAATTTCATTTGCAGATGGATATGCTAAAATACCACTAAATCGAGTAAAGTTTTTTCTTTTTTAAAAAAAAAAACAAAATTTTGTATTTGTAATCTTTGAATTTCACTCAAATTTCAATTGTTAAATTTTAATTTCAATATATTTAATATTAAATTTCTTTTTTTTTTTAAAGATTATCAATGCATTAGCAGCGGCAAATGCCCTTGAAATGTGGGATATGCGTAAAGCAATCATCGAACAACTGCGCATATTAGCATCAAAGCCGGAAAGTGCGCCATTTGCTATTAATGTTGCTGTATGTAATTTGGAAAAAAATAAAGCAAAATATGTCGTAAAGGTTTATTTTAAATATTGTTTCATTTGATAAACTGAATTTCTAATTTGTTTACTTTTTTATGAATTATATACAAAGTTTGAAATTTAATTTATTATAAATTTACAGCAATCATTGGATAAATTTAATGAAATAATCAAGCAGAATAGCTTTCTTGCTATCAATGATGCAAGTTTCGAGTTTCTCATTTCTCTCTTCATTTATGAGGTTTGAAATTATAATTTTCATCCAATATGAAGTATGAATGAA